GGGGAGGGGGGAAGAGGAGTGATTACGAAAAATTCCTATTAGATAGCGTATTTCCCACAAAATTGACAGAATTTCCCACAAAATTGACTGAATTTGTCCCATTTATTTTTACAATAAGCCAATATTGCCCGACTGTGAAGCGAATATTGCCCGACTGGTTTTGTTTTCCCAACAAACTGGAGGGCTGTTGCCCCCTCCGCCCCCCCCCCGCCCGGTACGCCCATGTATATATAAGGAGAATTTTGAAATTTTGAGCGAAAGGTCATTCATCTTGAGTTACAGTAACTCCAGACGAAGGGCCTTTGCTCAAAACTATCTGTATATATTTTCAGGTAGTATGTTGCATCCGTACCAACGAAAGCTTGTTCATATTAAATAGAAAGTCTTTATCATACTGTATGTCACATGTCATGTAAAGATAGATGACAAGATGGATCCTCAGTCTGGTTGGACCAAATCCATACTGCAGAGTTGGTCAAAGACTTTAACCTGCTCCCCAGGTCTCTAAATTGCATTGTTTTCAATGCCTATTTGGTTACTTTGTGCCCTTGATTGCCTCTAAACTGTTTTGCACAGTAGGTATTGTAGCCCCGAGATCTTGTTGAAAACTCTCCAGTCTGGTGCCATATATCTGAGGGATCATATCCGACGGTTGGGGCAGGTTATATAACTGCATTGTTGAAGGGTTTTTTAGATTTCAAGTGTAACTAACCAAATGAGCTAGAGTGCTGCACTGTAATCAGTATCACAGGGCTGCCAGAGCTTAAGGCATGCAGTTAATTGCATGTTTTGCAAATTGCAACTGCTCCAGGTTAGCTAGGTTTAATATAATAGATTAGTACTGTATAAAATTGACACTCAAAATTTCCATCTACAAAAATTGATGGTTTTATTTCAGAAAGCACATTATGGTATGATTTTTGTTAACAAGATTTACATTGCATGATGAAGCAAAGATGATTATTTAAATATTGCAGAGCTTGCCAATTCTTTGCATCAAATAGCTTAGTCAGTTATCATGTGAAGTGCATCAAATAGCTTAAGCCTGTTTTTCAACTAGCCGTATTTGTTCACACAAATCGACTTTTTTGTTGTCGGCATCACACATTTGCTGACGTGATAAGTGATAAAGGAAAAAGTCGCTTTGCATGAATAAATTTGCCTAGTGGAAAACAGGCTTAGTCAAATATAGATCGTGATGCATCAGCTAAAATGCATCAAATAGCATAAATATCATGTATGCCTGTCTTACATAGCCTGCTTCTGACAAGCCACCATGGACCACCATAGATCAGTGCTTCCACTTCGGTAAAGAAAAATATCCCTTTTGTATCCTCCTTCCTTTCTAAATTATTGATAAATAAAATGCCACCAATACAAAATATAAATAATATTTTCGTCTAGTACTACATAATAAGGCTCGAGATCAAAACTAAGAAATTACGGGTACAGTTTGATAGTTTTGGAAACTCAGAAAGTATAATCGAAACGCCAAAGATTATATTACGTAACAGAGGTAGTAAAGTAAAAGGAACCTTCGTGTAGGGTGCCTAATTTAAATTTCCTGAGCATTCCTTGTTCGTGTTCGTTTGAGAAGTTATGGTTAAGGTTACAATTCTGATTCAAGGGGCTTCGGTGGCGCAATCGTCACCAAGCGCCAATGGCGCAATTGTCACGCAAGCGCCTTTCACCTCTGAGATCGTGGGTTCGATTCTCGCTACGGACTCATGCATGACACTTACGTGAAAAGAGTCAGTCAACGCTCTATCGAAAGTTGTATATTTCTCCGGGTAGTGCTCCGGTTTCCTCCCACACACAGGCAATGTTGACAGGGTGGGTTGGAATATTATCCCCCTAACTGATCCTTTCACTGTAGCTGTGCTCCGCGATCAGACATGAGTCATAAGATGGCTGCCAGGGGCGCCCTTAGTAAACCTTCGACTCGATCACTTCAGGTTGAGCTGTGACCCTCGTAATTCAGCTTAGCTCTCAGACTCAGTGTTAAATTCAGATTATTTTATTACAATTCTCCATAAATGATATTGGGGCAAACGTTCGAGTGAGCCCCTCAGAAAGGATTAGCCCCATATGCTCATAATCAAGAGTTGCATTAGTTATCAAAGAAGGCTGTCTTGCTTAGGTGAATATTAAGACAAATAAAATGTCTTGAATGCAAATGAAAAGTAATTTAATTATGACCATTAAGCACCAAATGAATGGGGCCTAAATACACCAGCCTTTTTTATCTAATCTTCAGATTGTTGTAATCTTCAGCTGTCTGAACAACAAAGCACAAATCAGAGGGTCTACATAGCACAAGATTCAAGAATAGAACCTCTGGTGGGATGCAAAATTTTCCCATTTCTTCCATGGCATTTAAAATTTTCATGCCGGAAGTATCTGCAGTATTCAGGATATTGAAATACAATCTTGTAAGATTTAATTGTGACCATGTTTCATCTAGTCTAGAAAGTTTCCACAACATTGACAACATGCAAATTTATTAGATGAAGTATATCTAACTTTTGGCATATATTTGATTTTGAAGTTATGTAATTAATTATGTAATAATTACATGAAACTGGAAACCAGTTAAATAACATTATGAGACGCCTAAAAGTAGCGCAATAAAAGTAAGGTAAAGTAAGCGCAAAAAAAGTAAAGTAACGCAATTCATGTAATGCTACTACCGGGTGTCCCCCCAAAAAACTTGCGGTGTTTGATTTCATGTAAGGTAAAAACTATATAAGCTATTACACTTAAATAAGTTTTATTGTATTGAGGAAAGGCTAACTTAGATTTTGATATACAGCCCTAAAAATATCATGTAATATTGCGTGAGATACAAACGTTTGAATGTGGCGCACGCTTTAAAAATGAGTAAAAAAATCGAGAAACATGGCTGATCAAATTTATATGAAAACAAATTGCCATTTTCCACAAAAATTAACAATTTCAATTTCAGCATTTCAACTCGACTTTAATTTCGGGTAATGTCCTAGTATAAGTTAACCTTTCGTGTTTCTTGGGAAGCGAAATAAGCATGAAACATTTAAAAACGTTCGAAAGCATATTTGACATCCTTTGAGAGTTCGTATTATAAAGTTGGTCTTCGTTCGCCTTTCGAATATGCTTCGATTAACAAAAAATCAAAGAGTTTTGGTTTTATGATTTCCCGTGCAAGACATTGTATACGTGCAAGGGATCATACTTTCTATGATAAATGAATATATGTTTATCTAACAATTATGTTTTTCATACAATAAAACTACATAATCAAGTTTAACCAAATAATATTTGATAGGCAATTTTATGCAAATTTTTAACATTGTCAAATATGCTTATTCGATCTAAAACATCGATAGCTCAGTAAATATTGCACGGATATTCAAATGTTATATATCAAAATCTAAGTTAGCCCTTTCTGAATACAATATAACTTATTTAAGTGCAATAGCTTTTATAGTTTTTATGTTACATTAAATCAAACAGCGCAAGTTTTTTTGGCACACCCGGTATTTTTAATAAAATATATCTATTTATCTAATCTAATCTAAGATATATGACTATAATAATTAATAGGTATGATTGGCAAGTGATTAGGCGTTAGTACTGTAATATGAGACAGGGACATTGGAATTGTTATTGTGTGATATTCTAGCGTGTAAAAAAGTAATAGAAAAGTCTGATTTGGTATCGTTGTTGTTTGATTCGCGTATATTACATTTGGTGCCGTGACCCCGATGGCAACAGTGACGCGTACGAACTAGTGTAGCACTTCCCGAGATCTTTTCAGATGGCGATATGGTTCTGTGGCTACGAAATTTGAGCTTTGTGCGAAGACGAACGATTGGAAAGATACGGATACGACCGACCCTCTCGTACGAGGAGACAGTTACGGCGGGGCAACAGCTGGATTTAGCAGGTCAGATTTCATCGAGTCAATCGGTTATTAATGAAGTGACTACCAGCGGTGGCACGAATCAAACGGTAGTAGACTCGCCCTTGGTTACGCAATGGATGGAAAGTGTAGATATTCTTACGAGGAGGGTTAGTGAATTATCTCAATCTGTTGCTAACGTAAACGCAGCGTCTGCGAAATAACGAAATGCCTCCGCGGGGCGCAGGGGCCCTTGTTATCTATGTGGGAGATGGGTCACATCGCCAGTTAATGTAGGAATACGTCCGGGAACGGGCGACGAGTGAATTATTGACAGCGCCAAACTGGAGATTACTGCTTTGTTTGTGGACAAATGGGACAACCGACCCGTTTCTAGGCTGGGGGTCAGCCCAGGGTAATTCGGCTTTGCCCATAAACTGTGTCCAGCCTACGGCAGTCTTTATAAAGGCACGATTGGGCGACCATAAGCGAAAATGTTGAGTGAACACAGGTGAAACGGTGTCATTAGACAGCAGATAATTTAGTAGTGGACCCTTAATGCCATGTTCTTTGAGGGCAAGAGGGATCGGTGGGGAAGACCTATATGTGTTGGGATCAACGGATTTGTATGTTTACCTTGGCATGTCGAAGTTTCTGGTTGTGGCAATCAGATTCTGGTCGTGGGTATCAGTTTCTGGTCCCATCAGTTTCTGGTATCGTGTGTATTTTGGGTGATGATTTCTTAAATTCGGGGGAATGGTTGTGGACATAGCGAACTCGAAGCTTTCGTGGAAGACAGGGGAAGCAGCACTATTTGTTGAGACAACTTCCCGAACTGTCAACAAGCTAAGTGTTCTGCTCGAACGTTATTCGGACGTTTTTGTGAAACGACCGAGCGATCCTTTAGGTCTAACCACCAGTGAAGCAAAGGCCCTATCGGATTTCCGTTCATCTCAACAAAGTCGTGAACAATCAGGTAAATGATATGTTAGGTAGAGGTTTAATTCAACTTAGTAATAGTCCTTGGTCCTCACCAATCGTGTTAGGCTATTAGCTCCAAAGAAAGACGGTGATTACCGGTTTTGCGCATGCGTTGACTTCGGTTTTGCGCATGCGTTAATTGATTACCGGTGGTTACCGGTTTTGCACATGCGTTGACTTCGGTTTTGCGCATGCGTTAATTCAGTAACAAAGGAGGACGCAGTTGGGGTGTGCACGTTACTTCAGTACTTTAGATCTAGCTTCCGGGTATTGGCTGGTACCTTTAAGAGAGGAAGATAGGGAGAAGAATGCATTTTCGGTGGGAGTAGACCGCTACGAATTAACGGTGATGCCTTTCGGTTTAACCAACTCTTCTACCACGTTTCAGCGCATGATGGGAAACGTCCTGAGGGGATAAAGAGATGCATTGTTTTCATCGATGACATAATCATCTTTTCCGAGACTTGGAGGAGCATCAGCTAATTTTGTATTTAGTCGTATTCGCGCTGCAGGGTTAGTGTAGTAAAGTTTTGCCTAACCTACCTAAAGTCAAGTGGGAAAAGTGCCAGTTCGCGCAGGAGTCAGTTAAGTTTCTTGGCCATAAGCCCCATTTACATGAGCAAATTTTATTTGACAAATTTCATATGTCAAAGACATTTTGTTCGTGTGGATGATGCATTTGTGACAAATTTATTGTGACAAATGCATTTGAACAAAAGCTAGCATGCTAGCTTTCGATCAAATGCATTTGTCATATGAAATTTGTCAAATAAAATTTGCTCGTGTAAACGGGGCTATATCGTATCGGCGCGAGGGACGGTGCGAGACTTTGCAACTCCATCTTCCCCTATCCATGTTCGTGCATTCATCTGTATGGCATCTTACTATCGAAGATTTTTAAGAATTTCGCGGACATCGCTACGCCCCTGCATGATATGACTAAAGGTAGTCGGCCAGAGTTCAGCTGGACGCCGTTAGCGGACAGGTTGTTCATTGAGGTTAAGAACCGTCTGTGTACAGCACCAATACTATCGTTGCCGGACTTTTCAGTTCCCTTTATTATACATACGTATGCTAGCGATTACGGACTTGGGACCGTCTTGTCCGAAGAGGTGAACATGAACGTGTTATCGCGTACGCAAGTCGCACACTGAAGCCAGCTGAAAGAAATTACTCGACGACAGAGAAAGAGTACTTAGCCAACGTATGGACAATGAATTATTGGCGGTCATATTTGCTCAGTAAAGCGTTCGACATTGTACCGGACCCCCTAAGTTTTACATGGTTGCAGGAGCTAATGGAACGAACCTAAAGGCCGTCTTGCTCGGTGGACACTCGCCTTGCAGGAGTTAAACATCGGCCGGGTAAACAACACGATGACGCAGATACACTTTCCAGGTTCCACGTTCCATTGAGTGTCACCCGCCCTTATCCCGTACAACGAAGAGGTTACGTTGCTTGTTATGCTCGACATGAGTGCTGCCTTTGACACTATAGACCATAATATTCTTATTGATATCCTCAAGAATGATTTTGGAGTAGTGGACAGCGCACTTCAGTGGTTTAGATCGTATCTGGCTAATAGAAAGCAGCAAGTTGTCATTGATCGCTGTAAGTCCTCCGAGTTTATGGTTGCTACTGGAGTTCCCCAAGGCATCTGCCTGGGTCCTGTTCTATTTTTACTTTATGTGTCTGGCCATTCTGAGATTATTTCTAAACATCTGCCTTGTCATCATGCTTTTGCAGATGACACACAATTGTATCTTTCTTTTAAACCTCAGAACTCATTGCATCAGGAGTCAGCTGTTAAAGCAATGGAAGATTGTATTGATGAGCTTCGAAACTAGATGACTGCACATCGTCTTTTTATTCAAAGTAGCAAGACAGAGTTTATTATTATTAGCTCTCGTCAGCAATTATCCAAGGTATCGATTGACAAATTGAGGGTAGGAGAAGTACTGATTTCTCTAGTAGGCGCTGTTCGTGATCTTGGGTCTTGGTTAGATACTCACATGTCCATGAATTTGCATATTAGCCAAATCTGCAGCAAGGCCTTTCGAAGCCTTTACCATATCAAACAAATCAGGAAATACTTAACTGACGATGCTACCAAAATTTTAGTTCATGCATTTATTACATCCCATTTGGATTATTGCAATTCTTTGCTGTATGGAATTCCAAAATATCAATTAAATCGATTGCAAAAAGTGCTAAATGCTGCTGCTCGTGTTGTATGTCTTGTACGCAAGTTTGATCACATTACACCTACATTAATGTGACCGCATTGGTTACCGGTTAAATATCGTGTTATATTCAAGATCGTACTGTTGGTTTATAAAGCTGAAAGCTCTGCATGGATTGGCTCTCAAATATATTTGTGACATGTTGACTTATAAACAAAGTAATAACTACTCTTTGAGATCGGACGAACTAGGGCTTCTTCATGTTCCAAGCACATGTAGAAAGTCTTTTGGTGATCGTGCCTTTTTGAAAGCAGGACCTACTCTATGGAACTTAGTACCGTGTGAGATTCGGCTGTCACCTTCGTTGGATTCTTTTAAGACAAAACTTAAGACATTTTTGCATAGAGATGCGTACATTAATAATACTTCTTGTTTTTAAATATTTTTAAATAGATGCTTATAGTAGTTAAATGTTGTGTAAATAACGTAGGAAAATTTTTAAATTAGCTTCCTATTTTATGTAATTAAGCGCTTTAGAATATTCTATAGTTTTAGCGCGGTACAAATTAATAAATTATTATTATTTATTATTATTGGAGCTCCGATTCCGACCTGATGGTCAGAGTAGCAGCCACCGAAGTGAATGCATCGTGGTCGAAGGAAGAGATAATCCAAGCATTTTCTTGGTAGTGCAGAAGCTACGTTGCGCTAACACTGGACGAGATAGAGATCGGCGACGCTTTCAATTAGAGAGGGCGATAGTGTAATATATTATATATATCTTAGCGCTGCCGTGTAATATCCTCTATATGTATGACTATAATAATTAATAGGTATTAAGTGACACAGGTGTGATTGGCAAGTGATTAGGACGTTAGGAATATGAGACAGGGACATTGGAATTGTTATTGTGTGATATTCTAGCATGTATAAAAGGGTAATAGAAAAGTCTAGTTTGGTGTCGTTGTTGATTGATTCGTTTATATTACAATTATTTAGTCAGAAATTGGGATTATCTAACAGTTAAAGCCTATTGGGATTGCGGGGACTACAGAAAATATAGAGTGAGACACAGGCAGGATTTGAGATGACACTGGACCTCAATGTTTGAGATATTTATTGTTTTCTCTCGGCATGCAACACTAAACAATTTTGCTTGTTATTGTTCTTCAGTGGTTGGCTGTATATCACTATGACTCGATCACTATATGCCCACTATATAGCTACGTAGTAATGAACAAATCCCAACTAAAACCTTTGTGATTACTCCAGCTGAATTACCTTGTAACAATGCCCAGCCAATACCCTCAATGACTTATGGATATTTTTAAGGATAAATCCAAAGACATAAATTACATAATGGCATCAAATGATAACAGTGAAGAAAAGCCTGTCAAAGAACAAAGTGAGGGCAAGATGGTCATACATATGAACATTGCAGCTCATCAGCTTCTCTCCAAGTTACTGAGACCAAAATCACCAGAGCATGACTGGGAAAGTCTGGCTGAGCTAATGGGATTTAGCTATGAGGAAGTCGTGAATCTAGGATGTGATTTAGATCCCGTTGAATCAATAATTCGTCAGTGGGAAAGACAGTCTGATGCAACTGTTGATAAACTTCTCTCATTCCTAAAGGAAATAGAAAGATTTGATGTGATTGAAGATCTTCAACCATTTATAAGTATGTAATGGAAATTATTCTTATATTTTCTAAATAAATAGCCAGTTCCAAGTGTGTGAATATAGATCAACATACCAATTTAATTAATATTCCAACTGATGTAGTTGGATTTACCTAGACCCATTTCCAATTCCTTAATTATTGTCCACATCTTGTAAGGTGTGTTTTTTCGGATTTGCTTTATTTCTTGTTTTAATCGAGCTGATCATGTGACATGCAGTCAATGGTTTATGAATGATCAATGATTTCTTTCAGGCAATAGTGCATGCAAGATTCTACTCATGAGCTGCATGGACTATTGCCTGAAAATAATTAAACTACTGTAAATTTGAGGAAGAAACGCGTGTTAGTGGGCGAAACTGATATAGATTTCAGAAGAGCTTTTAAACAGCAAATGCTAATAACAAATATTTTAGTGATTAATGTACTGTTTAATAAACGAGCAGGAGTGTTTTATTAGGTTTAAACCCTAAATTTTAGTCCTAATAAAACACGACCTGCGAGTTTATTAAACGGCTTCAAACACGACCACAAATTCAACAGATATACTGCCTTATTAGTATTCTTTATATATTGAATACTAATGAGGACACGACTACAATAAATACTGCCTGATTAGTATTCTTTATATAAAGAATACTAACTAGGAGTGTTTTATCAGGTTTAAAGCCACTGCACGTGACATATTATGGTTGACATGATTTGCCAATAAGCTTATGAATTATTAATGAGGTTTGAAACTTTCTTAATGATTTTAGTAGTTTAATGTATATAGTATAAATCTTATTCTATAAATTAAAATTGGTATATAGTCCGAATATAATTCAGTTGACTTGTATGAGGCTGCAAATATTTGAGCTTAATATCTGTCTAACGTGGTTTGGGTGTTGCCCCCCCCCGCCCATGCTTGAGAAAATTTAAAGAATGTTTCCGAATATGTTGTTATTCCATCTTTTCAGGTGAAACACCTACACCATCATTGTATGAAGAAAGAAGAAGGAAGAAAGGTATAGTAATATATTAAATTAAAACATTCTTCTAGAACTGCATCGGTAATGACTAATGTGGTCGCCCAACTACATATAATATTTTAACTGTTAAAAAAATTTATTCCAATACAGTTTCAGAAAA